ACACTTAAGCACAAATTTTTCCTCACAGTTGAGAGTTAAGCTGCATATATCACAGGTCTTTATCCCCTGAAAATTCAGAATGCCTAAGGAAGAAAGTACTGACCTTAGGTTAGTTATCAACTTCGCCGATACCAAAACCTACCACCCATATTTCAATTCTGCAAGTGATTATGACCCTATAGCATTTCCGCCTAAAAGCAAGATCCAGCTCAAGGCTAGGAATGTAATGTAGTTGTCATGTTCCTTTCATGTCCTTTATCTGAGAACATTTTCACAGCCTTTCCTTGACTTTCTCACCTTTTTGTGTTCATTTCCATCCTTTTGAATGGAATATTCTCCACCTGTAGTTCAGCATTCTCAGGGAAGCACACGCAGGCACACAACACCTATAGCTACAACCTACCTGGTCATGCACACAAGGAGCTGCTGGTAACAGTAGAATACACTGTTGACGCCCCTTGCAGCTAATAGGCAATGTACAGGGAGATAAGTAAGACCATGCAAATATCCTGCTTGCCAAAAACAAAAATAAAAAAATTCCCCTATTAGCATCTATCACCGCATCCTGCCTGAACCAGTCCTTATTACAATGGTTGCAAAACAACCTCATGCTTTTTTTTTTTTTTAGTGAAACACCACGAGGTACAGTTGGAGACTTAGAAATTTTTGTGCTTTGGTTTCAATTATACAATGATCGAGCACCCATCCCTCCACCAGTGCCCATTCTCCACCACCACGGATCCCAGTATCCCTACCCCCCCCACTCCCCTCCCCCCTGCCTCTGTGGCAGGGCATTCCCTTTTGTTCTCTCTCTCTCTCCTTTTGGGTGCTGTGGTTTGCAAAAGAGGCACTGAGTGGCAATCATGTTCGGTCTATACTCTACTCTCAGCACGCATCTCCCATCCTGGGAGGATCCTCCCAACACCCTTTATTTGGTGCTCCCTTCTCTATCTGAGCTGACTTTTCCCCTAGCGTGTGCGGCTGGCTTCCAAGCCATGGAGTAAACCTCCTGGTACTTATCTAGGCTCTTCTTGGGGGTTAGTCTCCTATTTTGTTACTTTATGTTCTCCAGATGAACGCAATCTTTCTATGTCTGTCCCTCTCTTTCTGACTCATTTCGCTTAGCATGATACTTTCCATGTAGTACCACTTGTATGTAAATTTCATGACTTCATCTTTTCTAAGAGCTACATAGTACGCCACTGTGTAGATGTACCAAAGTTTCTTTAACCAGTCATCTGTTCTCGGGCACTCAGGTTTTTTCCAGATTGTGGCTATTGTAAACAGTCTTCATGCATTTTTAATCCAACAGACCGTAATGCTGCTAAATACTGAAGTCTCTGAGGCAGGTCAGACAAGCTCCACACTCTTAAGAGTACTCAAACACAATGGCTTGAACACAAGACCCAAGGACTTGGAGGGCAACTTCCAGAATGGAGGGGGGGAGAAGGGAGGGGGGAAGAAAGGCTCGCTGATTATTTGAACCATACATTAAGAGAGATTTCAAATAGCTAAAAGAAGTGGAGAACCAATCAGGAGACAAGCTCATCAGGAAAGCTTGAAAATGGGTGTATGTGTGTGGAGAGAGGGAGAGCGTGGAGGGAGAGAGAACGTCTTTCGGCAAAGTAAATAACACACCCTAGTCTAACCCTTATCAGAAACACTTCTTTTTATATACTGCATTTGTCTAGATGACAACGATTCTGGAACTCTATTTCTGACCGGAGCCCAAAATTTCAAAACCAGAGCTCGCAACTCACTCTCCACGTGACTGCTCACCTGCCTTTTCTGCACGGCAGCCTCTCCGGGCTCTTAAAGACAGGGATTGGGCTGGACCATCTGATCGTGACCCACAGCAGGAAGTTAAGTGTTACACCACAGTCTAAGGCAACGTAAATAACTGAAAGAAAGGTCTCTTTAAGCAGAATCACGCGAAGCCCCAACGTTGAATGCCTTCCTTTCTTCCTCTTTACTCCTTTTCAATATTAATTTAATCAAATATATTGGTTTCCAAATCCACAATAACAGGCCACACAAAAGACGTGCCTGACAGACACCTCCCTACAACCTGGCACCAAATTCTTTCATCGGATCCATCTCGATCAGTGAAGTGCTGAAACTGCCTGGATTCCTTTCTATGTGAAGAGGACAAATGAGAACAACAGAATGAGCGATTAATTTTTACCCCGTTCCTGTCCTGCTTGTTGCTGCAACCTGGGCTCGCACACTTTCAAGTTAATTTCTGAGGGAACTCCAGAGGGTTGTACGTGATAATCTTTTGATCTTCAAAAGCAAAGTCTTTATGAAGCAATAATGACAGTGAAGATTCTAAGCCGCTACATATTTTACTGGCTCCCGAATCTTTCCTTCCCCCACATCTTACTGGATCACGAAATCTCCATTGTTCTGCCGGCTGAAAATTCAGAACTACGTCCAGAGGTCAACCTCCACGAGGCTAACAATTTGGCTGGGCACATACATCATTTTAAGACTTGTAAGAAAGACTCAAATGCCCTAGGAATAAGCCTATGTTAAAAGCTCAAGAGTGACCACTTTGAGCTAAGAAAAAGGGAAGAAGACGAAGACGGGATGTTCATCACTGTGGGGGGAGGAGGACAGGTCAGGAAAGGGACCACTACAACAGTGACAGAGGGAAGTGGTCACTCTGACAATGACCCAGTGCTCAAAGGAGGGAAAGCGTATGCCTAACACCCTTTCAGCAACAGTATTGTAAACCACAGTCTAAAGGGAAAAGGAAGATGCGCCTGCCCGAGAGGCAAGCGAGGGGTGGGCGGGAAACGGGGGATACTGAAGGAAGGATGCGGAAACTGTGTCTCAATCCTGAACAACTTTGTAATTCATGGTGATTCAATAAAATTTCTGAGCCGGGTCTTGAAGCTTGCTGGAGAAGAATCATTAGGATTAAAAATGCCAACCAAGTCTGGTGAGCAAGAAATAGATCGTTCTGGCCAGAACCACAGAGAGACAGGAAAATGATGATGGGGAGGGAGAAACGTAAAGATAAAGCTGAGGTGCATGAATATAGTAACTAAGGCAATAAATGTGTCAGAGAGTAAGTGAACGGAACGGGGAAGCGCCAGCTTTACGGACGTCCATCTTTCCTCCCTTCCCACAGCAAGGGTAGCTGTACAGTGGAGACGTCTTGAGAACACGCCAAGTCCAAGAATCAGAAGTAACAGGTATCTGAACCTATCGCAGTGAAAACAGAAAGGGATAAGAAATAACGGTAAGAATAAGTCAATCTTCTAAGAGGTGTGACAGACTAAAACAGGACTCAGAAAAGGTCGTGAGACTTGGAAACTGCCCATGGACAGGAAATAGGGGTGATGCAGAGGAAGAGGAGTTTAGACTCAGGCATGTGAGAGGAGAGGGACCAGGGGGTCACAAAGACTGCACCAAGACAGGGAAAAGAATGCCCCCCTCCATCAGTCATCTGAGTGTAAGGGGGGTGGAGGGTGGGAGGACACCAGATCAGGATCCAATGACAACACCAGACCGCAAGACTATGCCAGTCCTGTAACTCTATAAAAAAAAAAAACAACAAACAAACTAGGCACAAGAAGACTAAAAACAAACACAACATGTTACCGTCAGCTGCACACAAAGGAGCCTGAGAAGATCATTACTCTTCCTCCTTTTGTACTTTCCTCATTTAAAAATAAGACGGGCCCAGAGACCACTCAAAGGGCTTGAGTTTGAGTTGTGCGGGCGCAAGGCCCAGAGTTTCATCCCCAGACCACACGGTCCCTAGGCACTGCCAGGTGCCACCGTGGGGGGGCCACCACAGCCCCCTGGGCCTGAGCAGGCACTGAACCCAAGGTCCACTGGGCTAGGACAACAGCCATAGGGAGAGGCCCCTCTCACTGTTCGGGAGTCTCCTGCAGCAAACACCATCAATCAACATAATAAGTATAATATGGAAGGGGCAGGGATGTGGCCGAAGTGGTAGAACACAACGCTCCACCTGTATGAGGTGTTGAACTGGATCCCTGGTGTGAGAGCAACACGGAAGACACACGCGGAAGCCTGCCAGGCTTGCAGCGGGTAGGCCCTTCCGCGCCAGCCCCACCAGTCCAGTGCAGAGCCGGCGGAGACCCCGAGCAGCCCCGGGGGAGACCCCGAGGCCAGGACTAATCCGTCAGGGCAAAGCAGCGCGGGCCGGGGGGCATGCGGCGGCCACCCCCGTCGGATGCCCGGCACCGCGCCGATGCTGCGGCCCACGGCCGGGACCTCAGCTCAGCAGCATCCGAAGCGCCCCCGGCCGGGCCTGCTGGCAGACGGCGCCGCGCTCTCCTCCGCCGGGCGCTGCCCCCGCCACTCCTGGCTGGCACCGGCCCCGGGGCCTCTCCTGAGAGCGGCGGGGACCCGGGCAGCAGCTCGGGCGGGCACGGGCACGGGCACGGGCCGTCTCCTCTTTGTCCTTCCCGGGGCGGCCGGCCGCGGTCCGGAGCCGCCCGACGGACGCCCTCCCGGGCTGGCGACCCCGGTCTCGGCCCCGCTCCAAAGCCGAGCACCGGGGACGGAGCCGCCGGCCTCGAACGCACGCGGCGGGGCGGGGCGCTTCCGCGTCTCTCTCCGAAGCGGGCCCGAGGGGCGGCGCGACCCCCGCCAGGCGGACACGCGGACGCTCGCGCGGCGCCCGCACCTGCCCCCGGGCCCGCAGGCGCGGGGCTGAGCGCGGCCTCGGCGCCCCCGCGGGCCGGACGCCCCCCGCCGCCCCCCGCCGCCCGCCCGCGCGGGGACGGGGACGGGATTGGGGACGCGGGGCGGCCCCGCGCGCCTCGGCCCGCGCCCCCCGGGTCCCGCCGCCCCCGCCCGCACGTGCCGCGCCGGGCGCCCCCCGCGGCCTCCCCGCGGCGGCGGCAGGTGCCGGCGGCCCGCGAGGCCCGACCCGGCGCCCCCCGGGGCCCGCCCGCCCCCCGCCGCCCGCCGCCCGCCCCCCGCCGCCCCGCGCGCGGCCTCCGGCCGGGCCCACTCACCCAGGCTGCCGGCGAACCCGTCCATCTTGCGGGGCAGCGCGGGGCGGGCCCTTCATTCACCGGCGCGCGCGCGGCCCGGCCCCCGCCCCGGCCGCCGCACGTCGCCGCGCGTCGCCCTTCGGCCCGGCCCGGCCCGTCCCGCCGCGGCCGCCGCCTCCGTCAGCTCGAGCGCGTCGAGCGCGTCGCCCGCCGCCGCCGCCGCCGCCGCGCGCGCCGCCCGCCCGCGCCCCGCCCCCCCGCGCGGCCCCGCCCCGCGCACGCCGCCGCGCTTCCGGCCCCGCCCCCGCGTGCCGGCGCGGGGCGGGGCCTGGCGGCGCGGGGCGGGGCCTGGCCGGAGCCGCCCTCTCACCTTGCGGCGGGCCCGGCGCTGCGCGTGCGCGCTGGGCCGACCGGGGGGCGGGGCGGGGCGAGCCGAGCCGCCCGCGGCGGGAAGCGCCGCCCCCGCGCCGCGCTCCGGCTCCCGCACCCGGGTCCGGTCCCCTCCCGGCCGCCGCCGCGGGCCCCGGCGCCAGTGACCCCGACGGCCGGCCCGAGGGGACAGGCACCCGCGGGGGTCAGACGCCCGAGGGGACAAGGCGGGGGGCGGGCACAGACGGAGGGCCCGAGGGGACCGGCACGGGGGTGAGGGGGTGGGACGGGCGGCCCGAGGGGACAGACGGCCTGAGGGGACAAGGGGGGGGCACAGACGGGCGGCCCGAGGGGACAGGCACGGGGGTGGGGGGATGGGACGGGCGGTCCGAGGGGACAGACGGCCTGAGGGGACAGAGCGGGGGCCCCGAAGGTGACAGACGCCTGAGGGGACAAGGGGGGGAGCACAGACGACGGCCCGAGGGGACAGGCGGGGGGGGGGGGGACGGGGACAGACGCCCGAGGGATCAGACGGGCGACCCGAGGGGACAGGCACCCGCGGGGGGGGGGGGGGGAACAGACGCCCGAGGGGACAAGGCGGGGGGGGGGGGGGGCGGGCACAGACGCACGGCCCGAGGGGACAGGCACGGGGGTGGGGTGGTGGGACGGGCGGCCCGAGGGGACAGACGGCTGAGGGGACAAGGGGGGGCACAGACGGGCGGCCCGAGGGGACAGGCACGGGGGTGGGCTGTGGGACGGGCGGCCCGAGGGGACAGACGGCCTGAGGGCCTGAGGGGCCGGGGCCCCGGAGGGGACAGACGCCTGAGGGGACAAGGGGGGGGGCACAGACGGACGGCCCGAGGGGACAGACACGGGGGGGGGGGGGGGACGGACGGCCCGGGGGGGACAGACGGCCTGAGGGGACAAGGGGGGGCACAGACGGACGGCCCGAGGGGACAGGCACGGGGGTGGGGGTTGGGACGGGCGGCGGGGGAGGGGGGGACAGACGGCCTGAGGGGACAGAGCGGGGCCCCCTGAGGGGACAGACGCCTGAGGGGACTGGGGGGGGGCACAGACAGACGGCCCGAGGGGACAGGCGGGGGGCGGGGACAGACGCCCGAGTGATCAGACGGGCGGCCGGAGGGGACAGACGGCCTGAGGGGACAGACGCCTGAAGGGACAGACGCCGGAGGGGGCCGGCGGCGGCAGGAGGCCTGGCGGCAGCCGAAACACTTGTCCCTCAGCAGGCCCCGCACACCCCCCTGCGTGTCGCACAGCCGCCTGCATGTCGTGTCGTGGAAGACGGCCTCGGGCTCGTCCCGGCTGCGGCTGACGCGTCTGAGGTGCCTCCTTCAGTGTGGAAGGAACCGTCTCTGCGCCCATTTCCGACGGTGCCTTCAGCCCAGCCACATGTCTGAGGAGGCCGAGGAAGCAGCGCGCACGCTCCTCGCCTTGGAGCCACTGAGACTGGCCGCCCGTTGAGCCCCCGCACTGTGCTCTGACGTAGCCCCACGGGTGTGCTTGCGGTTGGACGAATGAGCCCTCGTGTCGTGGGAACGGAGGGTTCACGCCCTAGGGAAAACCCTTTTGAGGAAAATGAGTGCAACAGTTACAGATACAAAGCTGGGTTCAGTAGAGTATTGATTTAGACTAAGAAATTGAGACTATTCGCGCATTTTAAGAAGTCTGTAGATAACACAAACCTTGAAAATGGAGAAACATGGATATTATTTGCCCAGCACGCCTCCAATACACCTGAATTTCTCGCCTGCACTCTTGGATTGCCTCTTTCCCTTACAAAACCGGGCACTGGGTCCAGAGCATGATGCGAGAGCAGGTAAGGAATTTTTCTTGCACGTGCTCAACCCAGATTCCACCTCTGGTACCCCACATGGTCCCCCAAGCCCTGCAGGAGTGAACCCTGAGCACAGAGCCAAGAGTAAGTCCTGAGCACCACCGAGTATGCCCCTTTTTCCGAAGAAAAGATCCTTCACTGGGGACCTGCTCTGCGACAGATTTTGCACCTCGTAGCTTCATACGTAATCACCCCATTTCATTGTCACGGAACACCTCGGAGACCAGATGTAAAGATGTGATCACTATAGTAGTAGAAGGGGGACATCTAGCATGTCCCTCTGGCATGCTTGGGCAAAGTTCCCATTACTATCTATCACTATCTCACCGTGTGAGAAAGCAGTTCACACGAAAGGCTGATTCTAGGATTGCTGAAGGAATTCGGATTCATTTCATTTAGGATCATTCTCATTTGAAAAAATGAGAAAAAAGTGCATGGTGAATTGAAAAGTGTCACGCATGACTTTATGGGGTCTGTTCCTAACATGAGAGAGCTTCCGCATCAGTGAGAACCAAAACTTAGAACTGAACCTACAGGGGATTGGGCAGATTTTCCCTGGCCGAGCTTCTGGCTCCTGATGGGCTGCTTCCCCCCACACTACTCGACTGTGCCCCAGCCATGTGGTCGTTCGCATTCTGACCTCGAATCCTGCCTCTCCATGGCCAGATGCTGGCAGATCAAGGTAGGGACCCAAGCAGTGTTCCTGGAATCTGTAACTAAACAGAGATGGCCAGAAGTAACTGGATTAAATCAGAATAACCATGTAAGTGTATCTCATTAAGCCTGAAATCAAATGTATCCTCAACTCAATTTTCCCTCGACCAGATACGCTAAATATCCAGGCTGTCTCAGCAGCTCCAAGCAGAGGGAACAGGGAACATGGAAAGGACAGTGGGAGTGGAAACAGACATTCAAGAGACTTGAGGCCTACCCCTGCATGGGAGACCGAAAGCTGAACTCTTTCAGTCTCTAATTCTGCGTGCCTTGGTTACTTCAATCCTAAGCAGCCCTGCTTCACCAGTGAAAAGTGACCAGAAGTCTTTGAAAAATAATAATTAAAAGCCTGGGAAGGGCCAGTGAGCCAAGATGATCCTTCAGAACAGAAGCGATAGCGAAGATGTTTCGGTCTCCTGCCAGATGTTTCTGGAATGCCACAGGTATTATGAAGAGTAAGAAAGATTCTGCCCTGAATTCCAAGGATTCCTTTGCCCATTGTGCTTTGTGACTCCTGACTTGGCTATTCTACAAGAGGATCAGGGACTGGCCCCTCTGATTAGGCCGCTCACCTCCTCTCGGTGCAGATAGGAGATCCGAAGCTTACTTTCCAATCCAGCTAATCAAAGAGTTTCTTTGGGAATATGAGTCTTCAACACTAGCTGACTTTGGATGTGTTTGCTCCGAGTCCACTCCCCGTGCTGATAACCATACTCAAAATTCCTTTCTGTGCCCAGCTGATCATGATTTTCATCTTTGCTTTCCACCCTCATTGTCTCAGTCCAGTGGGATCTGCTCTCTGAAGGCCTCCAGACCTGGGCAGGAAGAACACTCACTTCATCCATCCTGGTTCTGTGTCTGGTGTCAAGTAACCTGGGTGATTCAAAAGGTGTCTGTATTTTGTTTCCTATTTGGTGAGCTGAGGCGTTGCCAGTTTTCTAATTTATTTTATTCTATTGTGGTTTGAGGTTCACAGCCACTGTAGCTCAGTGGCTATTCCTGGCTCTGTGCTCAGGAGTTGACCCCCAGGTGATTCTCAGGGGACCAAATGTGGAGCCAGGATTTGAATCCACGACCACATGCAATGCGAGTTCCTCCTTCCCTCCTGTACCGTCTCTCCAGATCTCCAAATTTCTAATTCTCGTGTATTCATCTATTAATCCTCACAACCTGTTGATTGTAGCCAGAGCTCTTTGCCTTCGTGTGATGCTTTGCTACTGCCAGCAGCCATCACACAAATGCTCTTGCCCAAACTTCTCAAGAACGCTTCTTTGGCCAGCATTGTGCAGACATAAGTTGCTATAAGGAACAGTTTCGGCAGCTTCACCCAGATATAGCAGGTCCTCAAGGATTCCAGCACCCATTCCCGCCCTCCCCACACCTCCTCGAGCTGTCACCTGATTTGGGACGGGGGGGGGGGGGGGTTCTTCTGATAATTATTTTCTAGATTATTTAGAAACAGGTGACACTGTTGCAAACAACTCTGACATCTCAGGGAGTGTCATGTAATAATAAAGATGTTCCCACCATCCAGCAGACCCGCCGTGAAGACGTTCAAGGGTCCAGGATTCTTTGACCCTGGCGTCTTCTCCTTTGAGGCACTGAGTGGGGTGGGTAGGGAAGGGGATGTCGTCTGTCAACAGGGAGGATCAAGTTCTGTGGTTCAGAGACTGAAGCAAGTGCTTCACTGTTCCTCTCACTGCATTAGGCAGAATTCAGCCTCAGGATGACCGTGAACTGTAGCAGAGAGCAAGAAACAAGGCCCGTGTGAGTGAAGGGAGGAGAAGCATAATGGTAACAAGGAACAAACACTTTCTGCTCTCCCTCAGCACAGGAAGCTGGGGCAAGCCTCACACATTCTCCTGACACCACCAGAGTTGGGGAGGCTCCGTTCTGACTTGGGGGGCAGGCTGCCTTTTTCAGATCCAGTCGGGTCTGTGCTCCCTGCACCAATGACCTCTTTGTGCCTCAGTTGCTTATGAAGATGTTTCTACTCCCTAGACGTACCACAGGGATTGGTGCCGGAGAGATTTACTCCAGCCCTGAGAACAGGGCCCGACCTGTACCGGGCTGGCCTTGGCTGCGACTCTGGTTACTCTGGCGTTGGTTTATTTTTGCTCACCAGGTACGCTCAGAGCCTTTGATATTAACTGTCTGATAAATATCTACTGAACAGTAAACAGATTTAGAACTTTAAACACAGTTCATCT